CCCCGCGGCACCCACACGGCACTGCACCCGTGCTGCAGCCCTGCAGCACCCGCAGCCCCGCGGCACCCGCACAGCACCGCACCTGTACTGCAGCCCTGCAGCACCCGCAGAGCGCCCGTACGGCACCGCAGGGCGCCGCGCGCCCTTGGGCACATCTGTTGCCCCTCCATGGATACGGAACAGCCTCCAGGGTTCACTGACCAGGCCTGGGTCTGCAGGGAGCAGATTCCTTTTCTAAGCTGTGAAATTAAAACTTGGCTAATTGCAACTAGTCAAAAAAAAAATCACTTTTTTTGCCACCAGATTGTCTGAAAATTCACACACTTGGCAAAAGTGCTAAATACATTTAGTAAGAGACATGCAGTCTTGTGAGAGGCTGAGGCTGCCCAGAGCAGTTTCAAGTTCTTTTTCTTAACTGTGGCAACTCGACTCTGCTGCTCTCTAGGGAAACGTTGAGATGACTTGTTTTCTTTGCTGGGATGTGCAGAGATCTCAGGAATTCTGCATTCAGAAGTGCTTACATTTTTACACTGAATGAGTTTTAACTGCACAGTCTCTGACTTTTAACTAAAATGAAGCACTGTTGTTAGTCTGTATTATTTTCCCTTTTTTGTGGCATTGCTAGCTATAAGTTACTCTATAGAAGCTGAAGTCCAAAATTTTTGGAGGACTTTCTTTAATGTATTGTTAATTTACAGTTATGTATACTCTGGAATGAGCAAATGAAACATGTAAATACAATGTGTTATTACCTCCTTTCAAAGCAGACCTAAGAGGCCCTGGTATTTACAGAGGAGCAGGAACCTCTTGCACAGGTATCGCACTACGTTGACGGGACCCACAGACCGTTCAACCACAGTCTGGTTTCTGCCCCGCGCGAGGCTGGCGGGTGTTACCGGCCTCTTCCTAGGCCAGACCCGGGGTGCAGAGAGGGCCCCGCAGCGGCGCTCGGGCCCCAGCGCTGCCTCACGAGACCTTCCTGCAGCCCCAAGGCGCTCCCGGCGCCCTGGCCGCTGTGACAAGGCAGCTCGCCCAGCGACCGCGGGCACGGGAACGCTGCGCGGAAAACACTCCTCGTCCTTCCTCATGACCATACACCAGACGGCTCCCCTCTCCCTTCCCTTCATCCCAGCGCTCCCAGGAGCTGCAGCTGCCAACTCTTCCCTCAAGTGCTGGCTGGCCGGCTGCTCATCCCCACCCGAGGAACCTCTTCACGAGCTCCATCTAATGCCAGGTAACAGGAAAGAGAGCAGAGGCCCTGTGGAATTCCATGGGACACCCAAGCCTAAGAATAAAGCTTAGGTTGTAGTTCATATTTTAGACCCAAAACACTAAGAACAGAGTAAGTCCAGGTTAATGGTCAGGAGAGACGTGCCCAGGAAGAACAGAAGATCTTCGCCCCTCTCCATGCGGATGACGGGTCACACACCTCTACCTCTGTGCACACTAATGCAAAACGGGCACGACAAAAATACCCAACTGCCAAAGGCCTCCAACCGCCCACGGGAATCTGTGCTGCTGCAGGAGGGACAGCTCTGCCTGCTGCCGCCGCGGGGACAAGGCCACAGCCAGCACATTCCGGGGGTGACACCTCCTTCCTGGCTGTTGGACAGAGCAGCTCTGTCTGAGCAGCACACAAAAGGAGCTAAATGTCACGGAGCCAAAGAGCCCTAGGAATAAGGAAACAAATAGCGTAGATACGACAGGACACTGAAATTCAAATGTAATTTAATATAAATAAAAACATATATGTAGTTAGGGATAAGGAAGAAAAGGAGAATTACACCATCAATGGTCAAATTTCAAAAAATATCACGCAAAAAGAGTTGGAGATTATAGTGGATTAAACTTTAGAACCTACACCGGTGCTCAGAGATACAGAAAGCAAAACATTTAAGAATGCATAAAGAGAGGTATCAAACATATGCTGAACACCGTAGTGGGGATTAGTGCGACCGTGTTGCTCATGTGAGCAGCTTTATTCACACTCATAAAAAGATATTACAGAACTGGAGAGAGTTCTGCAAAGGACAGCCAGGAAGATACAAGGATTTAGGGAAAAAGGAGATTACACGGAGACCTCATTAAGATATACACACATTTTGAAAGGCGGAGGCATGACAGACCAGCCAAAGATTTGAATGTGTGTTATACACAACGGGGAACGATACTAGCTCGAGCTGTGAAATAAAATAATTGAGATGGAATTTCCATTTCATATAAACTAAACTATGTAGCACATCCAGCCAGAAATAGTTAATTACACAAAATTTTAAAAAGCATATTCATTTGAGATATTGGTGCTATGAGTACAAGACATGGCTAAGCTAAGGGGGCATTTCTCATGCTTCTGCTTAAGGAGAGCTTACATATACATTATATCTTAAATTCCTCCTTATGCAGATAAGAATCCTCTTGAGAAAAATCCACATACATTGCATTAATAAATTACACTGCAAAAAAATAAAGCAGCTACTTTAATGAGTTCAGACCAAATTAACTTTAAACATTTTATCTGCATTTTGCCTTTATCAGTAAGTTCGAATGTCCCAGCCAAAGCTGGGAATGAATGGGAGGCTTCTGGCTATCCCCCACCACCCCAATAAACCACCAAACCACAGGAACCGCATAACGGGGAATGGAAGCCAAATACAATAATTAGTATTTTCTATGTGCTGAAGTTCAAGTGAGAATTACACATGGAAAATGTTACAATCTAACATCAAAAGCAGAAATAAACAGAGTAGAAAATAGAAGGTCTTTTCACTTTACCTGAGTAAGAAGTATTTCTGTCTTTCCACTGAACATTTTTGCATTTTATTTGATTTTGTCTCTCTTTCCGCAGACGTTCTAGTCTCTGAGCTTGAAAAGAAATATTACAACTATAAGTTTGTCAATGAAAGTTTACTATAAACAAAGACATAATTAACTACCTTTATATGAATAAAGATGTTTTATACTGCATATGTAGGGGAAAAAAGTCATAAAATTTTAAAGGTGGCACCCCTGAAAAGCAAATACCAACAAAAACATGAAAATGTTCTTGATTTATAATTGAAATTAGAGGATATAAAACATTAATAGAGATCATAAAGATAGTATTAACATGGAAGAGAATAATAAAATGTGAAAACTTCTGTGATTAATATGACATTTCATTATATAAATCATTAATAACGGTCTTAAAGGAATTTTAATGCACAAATGAACTGAAGTGAATATTACATTACAGGAATAAAATTACTGTTATGAATTACTCTACCCGTTTCAAAAATTAAAGATAAATGAACTCAGACTAGACTATTAAAGTTTTAAATATAAAATCCTTTATCTAAAAATCATGAAAATTATAAAATGTCAAAGCTATATAAATTAGCATAGCTTTTTCTTCAGTGTGCTGAAACAGTTTATAGGTAGTAAAATAAATGATTTGTATCTTCACAACATTAGTCAAATATTAAATGAATATAACATTTTTTACATATATTTTGACTCAATCTTCAAAATATGGTTTGAGAAAAATGCCTCAAATAGCTAAAATATCAAACAACTTGTGGACCAAGGTCCCAGATGATACCTTAAATTCACTTTTTGTTAACCGATCTCTCTCAGGAGAGCTGCAAAACTCTACCCTGGGAGAAGCTACCCTGGAACACGACCACCAGAAATAACCAGTGCAATCAAGCAGCTACTTAAAATAAGAAAGCAGGTTACACTGGAAAGCCTGACTAATAATATTAATCACCAAGAAAACAATTTGCTGGATATTTCTGCAGTTTTGATGTACTGAGACCATTCAGTAACATAGGTTTTTAGAAGAGATACTGAAATACTAAATTATTAGATGATTATATCATGAAAAAACCCTTCAGGTTCAACAGCTGCAGCAAGTGGTTTAAGGCAGACAGAAACAGGGCCCTCATTTCACAACTCTCGTTTACGTCAGCACGAGGCCGGTGCCTGGGCCCCTCTCCGTGTCCTACCCTGTGCGGGAAAACAAAGGAAACGGAGAGCGGCAGCGTCGCGCTCAGCGCCATCTTGGCAGCGGTGATTACCCGGACCCATTAGGACTCGGAATTATTTAAGATTCCTTCTCGCAAGCATATTAATTTTAAAGCTATGTCAAAACTGTCGCTGCCCACGTATAATTCTTGTTTCATTAAATATTAGCAAGCAGATGAGCTTTTGTTTCTGCTCTGGCCTGGGAAGGAGCGTTGGCGCCTTTCCGCGGAGCTCCCGGCGGGCAGGGCACGGCTCCGGGCGCAGAAAGGCAGCGCTCGGCCTCCAACGCGCACACGCAGCGAGGGACACGTCACGGCCCACGCTCGCGTGGCCTCTACAGTGACGTGCAATAACACATCATCCACCTTACTGTCTTCTGCAGTAACAACGTATCAAACAGGTACAACGCTGGCAAAGTACTTTATAACGAAACAGCTTTGCACAGTTAAAAATGACCTTCCACCCAGAAGCAACAGGAAAAGACAACACAAAACACAAATTATTTTATTTAGCAGGTTATAAGGAGAATAAAGAAAAGCTTACATATTATAAAGAACGGCCCAAGTTACAGAACTTACTAAGTGTACTTTTTGTTACCATTTTACTTCCAGATTAAAGCCTGAGGTTAATTTAAATGAACGTTTTTTAAAATACTTACTAGTCAGAGCAGTTTTTTTTTCTGCCAAACAATCCTGATTTAGAATGTTTTTACACTGTTAAAACTCAGTGACAGCTATTGCAACAGCAGGATTTTTTTCCAACAGAAGTGCAATATTAAGAGCCATGTGTGGCCCACTAAACTTCTTACCATATCTTTAATTAGTTTCAGTATGCTAGGTTCCAAATCTATATATTCAGTTTATTTCCAAAGATAACTCTCTTCATTAAAACATCAGCACCTTGTGATTTTTTTTTATAACTGACATTTTATTTGTAAAAGATATCTGAAGGTATTTAATATAGCATTTTACTTGTTAGGCAGAACACAGTTTTTTTTTTTCTGAGCTCTAGGTGGTGTTATAATACCTGCAGAAATAATTTGAAACAGACACACACACACACACACACACACACACACACAGAGTAACAGGAAAAAAAAGAATCAGTGTTGGCTACACCTCATATGTCTTCTCATATATATTATACATTCCAAATTCTTTATTCATTTCTAGCTACTATTTCCTCTAATGCAAGATTTCAGAAGACAAAGTAAAGACAGGTCATTTGCTTCATCAGCTACTAAACTGCATTCCTCTCTTCTATAACAAAAGATTTGGTGTATCAACAGGTGGATATTCCTTAGAAATCAGCTACTATATCCAGAAATTAATACTCCTCTAGATATTACCAACACAAATAAAGGCTGATCATGTATTTTTGATTAAGAAAGTTTCAATACGAAAACATTGAAGTTGTCAAGATGATCTCAAAGTTCCTGTGTACATGATTAAGTAAAACAACAATTGAAATTCAGTTTACAGCACATTAAAGTAACCGGTCTGTTTTTAAGAAAAAAGGGTGCCTGCATTACACAATACTTCACCTGCTCTGATCGCTCCATGCAAACTGGATTATTAGAAATTGAATTTAAAAAGTTATTCGTGTTTTTTTCTGCAAGTATCATTTACCTGTGTTTGATCGTCTTCTAATTCCAAAGTCCCAGCTTGAGGTAATATCGACTGATTGGGAGTATACATAGCCCTGAGTCTCACCATTGCTTCCCTGTGTTTCTGAACTGTCCCCATATGTTGATGAGGGATTAAACTTCTCTAGGTCGACATCGTGATCTATGAGGACCATTTCGCACATCCCTGTATCATCACTGGTCACGTGTGACTGCCGAATATGAGCAAGTATAATAGTTGGGTTGTCCAGGAAAGCCATCCTGCCCTCGAGCCCCGCGCTCCGCTCTACTATCTTCTCTCCATCTTGTTCCGTGGATGTACGTACCTAGAAAAACAAGGCATACAGCATTTTACCAAAGCAAATAAACCCAGCCCCAAACAAACAATACAATCAAAGAATACACAAAATAAAACCATTAACTAATACTGATTCAGGAGAAGTTTCTGTTTTGACTGCACAAAGCCTAACTGATTCAGGTCTGTACAGAGAATTATTTTAATTCAGTTCCGCTTTACTTAGGTTGGACAGCCCCTGTTCAACCCAGTTCAAGAACAGCAGTTCTGAAGGACACGTTGAAATTTCCAAATTCCAAAAGCATCTGTGGGCAGCTGGACACCCGGATACCCCCTACATCAGTGACTTGCTCGGGCAGCTCCAGGGGACTGTGAAACCTGGAGAAGAGGGAGGCGAGCAGGGTTTACACCTAACATCACAGACAGGTACAAGACTGGAAATAGACTTCACAAGTTCCAAATTCCACTGCTTTCCTAATCATCTCCCTATCCGAGGAAAAATAATATATACACACACACACCCCCCAGCTGTGGAAATAAATGCATTAATTTAGTACTTTGAACAAAGAACAACAACAAAAAATCCCTTTCCTATCACTGCTGTCTGCAAAACTTTCACCAGCAAAAAGAAAGTACCAAAGGAAAAAGAATGGTTTTACCCCCCCCCAGAGAGGTCTCCCACAAAGATCTGGTAAAAGCAGCGGGCCTTTTCCTGGCAGGCTGCAGAACAAAGGGACGGAAAGCACCAGGCCGGCTCGTTCCGGTAGCAGCAGACACTCCTGGTGCCCGGGACGCCCCCGCGGAGCGCGGTGCACCGGTGTGCAGGGCGGCGCTCCGCAGCTCCCGCACCTCCACGGGCCGCAGCGCTGCTTCCCGGACACCGTGCGCAGGGCTCGGAGCGCGTTCCGAGGCGCCTCCGGCAGCAGCGAGGCCACCACGCCGAGCGCCGCTTTCCCGCTCGCTCCATTGCGGGGAGCAGGCTGAACCCCCTTAAGGATTTCTCATTAGGCTCAAATTAGGGGCATAAGGCCACCCTCCCACTACAAGACAAACTTCTTACTGGAATTTACCTGTTAAGGGTCTTTAGGCTGTAACAGCCTAACCAGCATTATCTGAATTCAAACATATACACACAACCAGGCACCACCCATGGGTATTTCCAAGAGAAATTGCTTTGAGCTTGCGCTCCGAGGATGCTCTTTAAATATGTTTATGCCTCCCCTAGTATTAGAGGGAAGGCCACGCTCACCTGCAACAGTGAGAACTTGGTTAAACAAGCAACAGCCTCGGGCTTCTAAAAGGTCTGCAAACTCCCAATCAAAAATTACTGCTGGCCCATCAATGTGTCATATAAATGTTGGCATGTTAATTGTGTATTTATAAGATTGTTAATGGTTAGTTAATTTACCTCCCACACTATTATTGTACTTGAAATGATTTAACGTCTGCTATGGGAGTTAACAACATGTAACAGCAGATGCGAGATTTCTACCTTTATGCTCTGCACCCCGACTTCACGGTATCAGCAGTCTGCGTGCTAAATTGCCAAAGCTTCTTTACCATTTTACAATGCAAACACGTCTTCCCTAAAATGACTAGTGATAAAATACCCCAAATTACTTAGCTCCTATTTCAAACCCTGAAGTTTAAACACAAACACATCTTTTCCTCCTCTTCCGAATTTTCAAAAGGCCACACTAAAACTAACTTCTCGATTAATTAACATTAACTGGAAATTCTATAATGCCAACTCGCTCCCCCACCCCAAATCAGATACAAAAATTCAGTCCGGGCTTTTATGCCACATTTCAGTACTACCTACACAATTCCAAATGGATCCTCCTTCTGACAAAGGTGACCCAGATCTGGTCTGAAGCACGGTGACAAACAAAGTTCAATTGTAAACACTTTCAGGATACTTTCTACACACTGATGCCATGAGCGCCAGCAACATTTCAGGCCAGAGCACTTTGCAGGTCTGCCTGGGTCTGTCCCCACGGCTCCCGAGGTCCTCACACCCACCCTTGCTCACCATGTTGCTCTGCAGCACCTGAATTTCACTTGACTTTAACGCCAGCAGCTTCTTACAGATTCTTCAGTTACAAAAAAAAATTGTTCTTTTTAAATACTTGCACTACACTATCATACTGCTATTAAGTATTTTTACAGACAAATTTTAAACATATTCTATGCAAACACAAAAAAGAAAGTATCAATTTGAAACCTATACAGCCTTAAATAGCATATCATGTCATACATAAATAATATTAATAGTATAACCATATGCTACTTGTTAGCAAATACTTTCCACAGTCCACCGCTCAGGTGCACAGAGCCAAGTCGTTCCTTTGTTCTTAGTCTTTATTACTTGTTCATCTTACTTTTTCACATATTACCTGATCAACACAGTGGGTATGAATGCTCTCTCACCACAAATGCAACCTCCTGCTCTGCTGTGCAGTGAAATAATATCCTCAAGGATGTAGAGCGGCACCATCAAGAGGCGGCCCCCCTTGCCAGGCTCCACAGGAGCTTTGTGGCCAAGGCAGACAGTTGGATCTCCGTCTACTGTTTTTATGGCAAGCTTTCCTCCTCCAGTAACAACTGCCAAATTTACGGCATCCATAGATTTCAGGGCGAGTGAAGGAAGGCTGTTATGCAGATCACCCTCATTCATAATATGGCATACAATAAATAACGCAGAATGTTCTAAAAAATTATTCAGCTCTCTGTAGATGACACAAAAGTCCTAAAAAGATGATATCCAGTCACGATGAACACCCCCAAATCTGGGGAGGCAATTTTAACTGTTCTCGAGCCCTCCCTGCTCTTCCACTATACTACATTTACCTAAATAAAAGGAAAGCTTTCTCACCTTCTTCGGTGCATGCACCCCCCATGCATGCCCTAAAAACACACTTTGCTTCGTATCTGTGCCACGGCGCGGCCGCGCGGCGGCTGCACGGACACGGCGCGGACGCCGCAGGGACGCGGCGCTCTGAGCGTGCCGCAACCTACTTTGAGAGGAGGGAAAAGACGCCCGACCTGGAACACGCAATAAGTGCTGAATGTGGGCCACCCTGCTTCTGGGAAAACAGGGTATTTGGGACGGGATTTTCTGGCTTCTTTCCAAATCCCCACCGTGACATTGGACAATGCCTCTCGCGGGGCAGTGAAAGGCTGCTCCTCCCTCGGCTGACGTGCCCCACAGGCACCGAGCCCGGCCTCGCTCCACGCTCCCCATTGCCCAGGCCCTGCCCTCAGCTCTCCCCTTGGCCAGCCATTCCCAGACCTGCAGACTCCTCAGACAGCTCCTAGTGAAACCAGAGTCCGCTGGCAAATTGAAACTAATGGCAACTGTCCTGTTAAAGGAGTTTATAGAAATTAGGTTGAGAAATTAGGTTTCCGAAGGTTCTTACCGTTACTATGAAACTTCTTGAGAACCCTAGCAGCTCTCACCTAAAATCTACAAGAGGATATCAAAATCCATTTTAAACACGACATTTTATCCTGTTACTTTTGGCTCATGGAAAGCATAATCTCAAAGCTGTACAGGGCATTCACTTTGCATATCACAGACACGGACCGATTACTGGAGTTTGGAGAAATAAAACCCCATTGAGGGTTCAACTAAATACAGACCGGTTATCACTGGCTCATCTTCAACAGCCATTCTCACTCCCAAAAGGGCAAGTTGAAGACACCCTCGCAGGATGTGCTACAATCACAGAGCATAAAAAAAACCTTCACCAAAAATGCTTTATTTGTCCCTTCCATACTTTAAAATACATCACGTATGAGACCCATGAAAATTTACTCACAGACCTGTAAAGAAACAAACATACAGGATAAAAATCAGAGAAAGCTGTTAGCAACTAAAAGAATTCTGCTGTAGGAAAGAGCAGAGAAACTTTGAAATTTCAGTTGTTTTAATATGGGAAATAAAATAAATAAGTAAACAAGCAACCTTTGGTACAAATGTCTAAAAGCAGCTGCAAATTCTTCCTCCAACCAAAATCTTCCAACCAAATCCTGCAAGGTCATTTTCCTCTCCAATTGCAAAAATACAAGCTGAGAAGCAGGAAAAAAAAGCAAATCCTCTCTGTTATACTGCAAAGAACATGTCATAATAAGAATGTGTCATTATCACAGCTCACATGTTTTCAGAGGAAAAAATATATAAATTAACTGGCCCCCAAACTAATTATTAAAAAGAAAAAACCCTATTAAGTATACGGGAAAATATTTCAAGCAGAGATGAGACTTCTACAGTGTGCACCTTGGATCCAAAACAATTACCAATAATCTCAAAAGGCTGCAGGTTGGAAGAACTGTGTAACGTTACATGTCACGTCCTGGCTCAAGGGCCTCCACAGTCACCGGGCTTAAACACCTCTCTCTGACTGCAGCTCTTTAAAGTGATCTTAAAGAGTAATGAAAAAAATGGGTGCATTAGAATAAAGAATTGATTTTCCCTCCACGTTACACAAGCTGAAAAAGAATGGTGAGAATATACTTCAAAATTTATGACTCAGGTTATATGAAATAATTTCACAGTTAACTTCTGTCTGCACTCGTGGAAGAAATGGTTCTGGTTATCTACAGTTCCAGCAGTACAAATAATCAAAATCCTTGAATGTCAGACTCCTGTGCATGCAGGATAAAGGAAAGCGGACCGAAAATATGAAAATTCAACCTGATATTTCAATGCAAGCTCAAGTGCTTATAGGAATGCTTATTTAGAGAAGCTGTCATTCATGCTTTGTGCCCTATCATTAAAAAGTAAATATATTAGTCATTTAAAGAGGTGCTCTTTCATGAGTGAAACTGAGATTTGAAAATTAAGATGAGAAAACACATTACACACAACTTCCAACAATACTTTGCTGGTTTACAAACCTGTAAATCAATCTGGCATTAGATGCTTTCCCATATTTACAATGGGAATTGAAAATTATCTTGGAATTTATCTACATTTTTGTTGTCAAACCAATCTTAATGCAAATTTTACCAGCTCCAATA